AAAAATGTCTAATCTCATCTCAAATTACCTCTCTATCTCATACACAACACATACATACAGGAAAAAAGAATATATAATTCATTTTTCATAAATTGTAACAATAGGAACATTTAATTTAGATTATTTATTTTTATGATCGTTTTTGTGAGTTTAGCAACAAGTTGGGATATTTTCTTTAGTCAGGTTCAAATTATGTAACACAATCGGAATGTTTAAAATGCAATATTAACTCCTAAAAAATATTTTGCATTATTTTGATTTTTAATTTAAAAATGTATCTTTTTTTTATTTCAGTTGCCTAGACAATGCTTTTAAGTGGTATCTACACCACTAAAATAGTGTATATCTATATTAGAGAACCAAAATAAAATAATTTTTAAAGACTATAATTGAATTTATAAAATTTTAAAAGGTCAAAAATATATTTTACTCATTTAAATTATTAATGAAGATTAAAAATATCAAGTAATTTTAGTATTTTAATGTGATAAAAATATATTTAAACATATATTTATAAATATTGTGTTGATTATGAGGTAAATATATTAAATTCACTAGTCAGGATTTAACTTAATTTATACCGTAAAAGATGTTATTAAATGCAATATATTTAAAATGATTAATTACTTTGGCATCAATACAATTATATATATATAGTGAATTAGTGTAATACATTCGATGAGATGAATATAATAATTTCTCAACACTGTTTAAGCAACAACTGGCAGTGGCAGATCAGAGTCACACCTGTGCTTGGAATTTTCGAAACATGACATTTGAGGGCTTGGAATATAGTTTCTGATATTTTCTTTTCTAATTCTTTCCATTTGACATTCGCTTTGCAGATTGGGACTCAACTATATAGGCAGCTCGACTCTATATTTATTAGAACTTGCGAACCAAATATTCTCTTACCTGCTTCATAATTATTTTATTAAGTCCTTCGGAGAATGGGTATTTTTTTTTATAGCATGTATCTACATGTAACCCTAAATTCTATTTTATAAACATAATGCTTGACATTTTAATTATATATATTGCCTGTTTAGGAAGAAAATTTTTAAAAGACATAATACACCAATGGTTCAAATTTAAATCAATGTAAAAAATCTATTTGTAGATCATTTGGATTTGATGTAAAAGAACTCTTTTTACGTCAATTATTTTTGAATTGATGTTAAAAAACTATTTTAAATTATAAAATTATCATCACATCACTTTCTACACTAATCCTTTATATAACTGATATAAAAAGGTGTGGTAAAATATCATTTTCCCCCCACTAATACTGGTTTAATTTACTTTTTGTGTAATAGGGATCTAGTTCATGGTAAAAGGTTTAATTTGTCTATATGATAACTGTGCAATTACCCTTGTTAATTCAATATCTTTAGCCTGCAAAAAACATGTCACCTAAACATTACATCTACACGCACGTTTTTCGATTGCAATAACAAGAAATAATGTACCCAAAGTCTTCTAATTTGTAGGATATATATGTGAGAATTTTTCGAAAGTTAATAAGATTAAATATGTGTCCTCCAAATTACTTTTGGAGTAAGTACTTCTTTGTTTCATAATTTGAATTTAGGTCATGGATGTCCTTGCGTATGTCCATGAGAAGTGGTCACATATATATCTTGTAATCTCAGTCAGGGGAATGTGATATGGTCCTCTAATGGGGACTTGTCAAGCTCCACAATGAAGGAGTTACACGACTATAAGTATCTGACTGATTTATGTAATTAATTAGTAAACAAATTATAAGTGTTGTTTTTTAGTATTTTTCTATTAAAAAAAATATTTTTAATATATATTTTTTAAAATACTTATAAATTTTTATATATTCAAAGTTTAGAACAAAGATATAGTAAATACACATCTTTGAATGGTTAAATTTAAAAAGTTTATAACTTGATCGTTTTAATCATAAGGTCAAAATGTAGTAAACAACCCATTAAAATCTTTATTAGGTTGTGTTTTTATCAAGACAAACTTAGAGTAAGAAGTTATTCCACAAGATCTCCTTTTATCCTTATGAATTGATGTTGATTTGAATGATTATTGATCTTTATTTTTGGGAGGTGGAGGTATATGTAAAATGATTATGACGAACAAATTAGTCTGATCTATCTAATATTATTGTTCATTTTGTTATATATACATTTTTTCTTGTTAACCACAATTATTTGTTTACATTAATTTTATAATCATTATAATTAACATATAAAAATAAGTTATCTTTCATGATTATTACTTTTTAATATAAATATAAATATTAAGTTGATATATATACCAACTTAATTGTACATATTTTCTAATTATTAATAAAGATTGACATATTAACTTGATTACATACATATCGAGATATTAACTTAGTAATATATATAGTCAAGTCCATATCCAATTGTTACATGTCATGTACTATATATTCTAAGACAAGTGACTAGCCTAATTGGAAGGAAACAAAAAATAATATTGAGATGAGTGATAGTTCTTTCTTTGTATCTACGATCCATGCGTTTAATTAGTTGTTATGAATAATATGATGACATGTTAACAACCATGATTAATGACAAGTGATTTTGTTTGCCGCCCAAACGGGATTATGAGTGATGAAAAGGGAGACTGCCTCACAAATATGGGACTGCCTCCTTGCCTGGTTTTGAGGGACATGCCGGCCATTGGATTAGGTGTACCTCTTTCGGTGCATTTATGGGTAAACACAATCCCATTAAGTCAACCACTGACTTTATTAGTCCATTCATAATTATGTGTGTTACTGATGTCATTGTACAAATACTATTCTAGCACCTTCAAAACATATGGCTAATTATTTTTAATGGGTGGGCGTGCCCATGCTTAACAAAAGGGTTTTAAGCATTAGTTGCAAACCCGACAAGTCAGTGTCATTTTCAGATATGATTTTGTAGGGTTTTGCATCATTTATGGAGTTATTTTCTTTGGTTCCTCGTTGCCGACCTCATAAGGCCATAGTAACTTCTAGGGAAAACATACATGTCTTGAACACTGTAAATTCAAAAGGTAGACGCATCGCATCAGATGTCTGAAATATTTTGCACTTGCGGTCACTCTAATTTAGACGTAAGTGGATTTTGCTTACAAAGAGTAACTTTATTGATGTAATTTGTAAAGCTGTTTAAGTTAATATTTTAGATTTTTATTGACCCCTTTATGAAACATATTTTTTTACAAAGAGCAACTCAAATACATGCATGGCAGAGACGGATTTGGGTGGAGGAGTTGTGCACCTCAAACACATTGCTATCACTTGAATATGGATACTGATTTTATTGCTTTTCTTTTATTGTTGTATAATTTGTGTCTGCTTTTGCTATAAGCAACTGTTGTAACTTAGGGTTCACCGTTGGCTCACACATCTTCATATATTCTAGAAGAATAACTTTTGTTTCTTAAGAAAAAAAGTTAAATGAACTCGGTGTGGTAGATATATAGATATATGATTTAAATACTTTCATTAAAATGTAGTTTTAGTGAATTAAAAAAATATTTATGTTAATTAACTTCATTCTTTAGACTTAATTTTAAGTAACTAAAAACTGTAAAGTATTTCTTTTAAAAAATATTTATTAAACTTTAAAATACATTATATTTTTCTAATAAAAACTCTATACCATTAATTAATTGCTTAACGTAAATATTAAATATTGGTGTTAACAAAGTTGATGAAAAAATTGCAACATTCTATATGTTAGTTAAGATTTTAAATTTTTTACTCTTTATTGACTTTTTTATTTCTCATTAAATATTTTAATATACGCATTGATTAAACAAAATATACGTGTAAAATATGTTAACTTAATTTCATAATCTTAATATTTAATTTAATAAATCACTATGGTTGATTTAATAGTGAGAGATCAAATTAATATGTACAAGATTTTAAGTGATTTTAAGTTTAAATTCTATTATTTTTATTATAATTTTCATATATAAAATTACGTTAATAGAATTAGGGAAAAATGTTGGTTTGATTAGAGTTCAAATGTAAAATAAAGTCACACATAAATTAATGTTGAACATAATGAACAATATATAAGTGAAAAAGATCTACTTGTATAGGTTTTGATTAAGATTATGTGGTATTAAATTCACTTGTGTAACAAGTTTATTCACTACTCATCATATATATAGATGCTTTCCAATGTAAAACTTTCTAGCAATGGCATAAAAAGACTTGACTACTTAATGTTAGGTTAAGATGTGGTGTGAAACTCACTTATGTAATTTATTCACTATCTATGAATAGAGTGTTTCTTAATATAAAACTCTTCATTAGGAAGGGAAAATTAAAAGAAAATAATTTGATATTCCTATTATGATTCTCCCTCTAATGATCTAAAATAATTAATATACTTAAAGTTTTTATTAGAATCTAATATCAAATTCATTTTTATAATTTATTATTCATGGATGGAGTGTTCTGTAAATCTTCGTAATTGACTTTTGAAAAAAAAAATATTCCTATTATGTTTCTACCTCAAATGAACTAGAATAATTATACAAATGATACCAATCTAGAAACATAATTTTAAGACGGCCGTACGTGTGTGTGTGTGTTTTTCATCGAAGTTATTATCTAGGATATATAAATATATATTTAATTTATATTAAATTATCTTAATCCCTTTTCTAATTAAGGTGTGGGTTTGAATTTTATTTTTTATGAACATTATAACAAATATAGAAGCCTCAGGAGTGTGTCATTGGTGACATCCATAATTTTTTTTTACACACTAGTTGCCATAAAATATATGAAGGCATGAAGCATATATGTGATATGTGAATAATTACGACGTGACCTCGAAGATTAGAAGGGGGAAAAGATTCATTTTTTTAAATGAGACATGACGTGGAGGGTTCACCGGGTATTGAAAAGACGATAAAAAAAACATGAGAAATCGCGTCAATTTACTAACAACGCATAAGCAATATCTATTTTTGGACTCCCACTGTCTCATGCACCAACTGCTTCTCCTCTCAATCCCTCTATAAATCCCCACACATAACTTCTACTAACCACACCTACAAGCAGCTACAACCTCTTTCTTTTTTCTTTCTTTCTTTCTTTCATATATAGTCAACTCAGCAACCAACCATGGAGATGGAGATAGACATGATGGACATGGATACTATCCACAACCTCGACTTCTCCGGATACAGCACCATCACCAACACCACCCCCTCTTCCGAAGACGACTACGCTTACTGCACCTGGAACCACTGGTCCCCCCTCGTCAACTGGGACGCCTTAACCGCCACCCCGGACGACTTCCACCACCTCCTCGACTCCATCGTCAGTGACGGCGCCGTCGAGGACAACCTCAGCCCCGACAACGTCGGAAGCAACTCCGTGACGGAGGAAGAGGATTTGAAGGGTCTGAGACTGGTCCACCTCCTGATGGCCGCCGCGGAGGCCCTCACCGGCGCCACCAAGAGCCGCGAGCTGGCTCGAGTGATATTGGTTCGGCTCAAGGAGTTGGTGTCCCACTCGGCGCACGCCTCCAACATGGAGAGGCTGGCCGCGTACTTCACCGACGCGCTCCAGGGCCTGCTAGAAGGCGCAGGGGGTGCGCACAATAACAACACCAGGCATCATCCTAATCATTATCATCAAAATGACACCCTCGCGGCGTTCCAATTGCTTCAGGACATGTCACCCTACGTCAAGTTTGGACACTTCACAGCGAACCAGGCCATCCTGGAGGCCGTGGCCCACGAGCGCCGAGTCCACATCGTCGACTATGACATCATGGAAGGGGTCCAGTGGGCCTCCCTCATGCAGGCCCTCGCCTCCAACAAAACAGGCCCACCCGCGCCGCACCTCCGAATCACAGCATTGTCCCGCACCGGCACCGGCACTGCCCGAAGGTCCATCGCCTCCGTGCAAGAGACTGGCCGCCGCTTGACCGCCTTTGCCGCCTCCCTCGGCCAGCCCTTCTCCTTCCACCAGTGCAGGTTGGACTCCGACGAAACGTTTCGCACTTCCTCTCTCAAAGTGGTTCACGGAGGCGGAGCCGGAGAGGCTTTGGTCTTCAACTGCATGCTGAACTTGCCACACCTTAGTTACCGTGCTCCTGATTCAGTGGCCTCGTTTTTGAGTGGGGCGAAGGCGTTGAAGGCCAGGCTGGTGACCGTGGTGGAGGAGGAAGAGGAGGCGGGGTCCAATGTGGGAGGGTTCGTGGGAAGGTTCATGGACTCGCTGCATCACTACTCGGCCGTGTTTGACTCGCTGGAGGCTGGATTTCCGATGCAGAGCCGAGCCAGGGCCCTTGTGGAGCGCGTTTTCTTGGGTCCCCGGATAGCTGGGTCGTTGGGCCGTATATACCGGACGGGGGAAGAGGAGGAGAGGGGGTCCTGGGGGGAGTGGTTGGGTGCGGCGGGGTTCAGGGGAGTTCCCCTAAGCTTCGCTAATCATTGCCAAGCGAAGCTTTTGCTGGGCCTTTTCAACGACGGATACAGAGTGGAGGAGTTGGGGAGTAATAAGTTGGTGTTGGATTGGAAATCTAGGCGCATGCTTTCTGCTTCACTTTGGACTTCTTCCCCAGATTCTCATTAATTCAAATTAACTGAAACCAAGTCATAAACCTTTGTTTTACTTCTTCTTCCCTTTTATACTAGTTTTACTTTCACAATCTTTGCTACCTAACATGACTTATGAATGTCACCTAGTCCCACCACCTCAGCCTCACCTCCTAACACTTCATTTTCTTCCTCACATTTTTTTCTCTCTTCACATTCTATTTTGAGTTCCTCAACTTTATACAGTCTCTATAATTTCAAACCAAACTCTTTTTCATACTGCCCAAATCCTCTACTACATATGTTCATATATGTAAATGTAACCAAACATGTACATGTTCAATTCATGCTTCGCTTTACTTAATAGGGGAAAAAGGAGTAAGGGGCCTTCCATTTCAATTTGAGGAATTGTTTTCTTGCTATCAATTTGTACAGGAATTTATACAATTGTGAGAATGTTATTAGGAAACAAAAAAAAAGAATATAAGATAAAATAAATAATGTAAAATTTATTATACAATTTGGTATTTAAATAATATATGTAATATTCTTTCACGTTTTGGTATGAATATGAGTTATCATTTCGTAATAAGTTCGTGTCCCCTCATAATTGCTTGATTGCTACGAGTCATGCTAAAATATTAATTAAGAAGTCCATTGCCATTGCCAACTGTATAAACATTAATTCCTGTTTGTACAAGAGGAAATAATTATAATTACAGGGAACAGGAAGAAATAAGCGGAAAAAAAACAAGCGAGAGGTAAATAAGAAATAAAATAAAAATTAAAGATATAATTTGTTTGAATACTAGATCAAAAGAAAATAAAAGTCAAGATATAATTTTTTTTAATGTTACTATTAGAATAACTTGATTCTTAAATCCTAAAATAAAAAAGGCTAACGTAATCAATTATACTCTCCTTTTAAGTGAAACATATAATCTATTTTTCACAAAATGAAAGAAAGACATCAACTTCACTTCCAACTCTTTCACCTATATATCCGAGGAGAAATTTTATTTTGTGGACTCCTCTAAACTTTTTTAGACAGATTTTAGTCAAATTAATTAATCAATCATCACTCGTTTTCTCTTCTTTCAACTGTCACTACACTTTCATCCTATCAAACAGGGTATAAATGATATATTTGTTATAGAAAAATATAACTGTCTATCCAAATTTGGAGGGGGAGAAGAAATGAATAAAAAGGAAAAAAATAAAGAAGAATAACAAATTAATATAATAAATGATGCAACGAAAAAAAGTATAAGTTGTTTTATTTTAGTTTTTTTTTGTAAATAGTTGTTTTATTTTTTAACAGTGGTTTTCCCCTTTCCTCCTGCCAAATAAATATATGAAATTAAAGATTTGAAAATTTTCTATTTTTGAAATTTTCAAATAGTATGTTTGGAAGAATAAAAAGAACGCCTACCTCTGCTTTTATTTGTTTATTTTTTCTTTTCATTTGTTCGGTATACTGGAATTGTTATTTATTTATTTTTTCAAACACTCTAGATTGTGTCTTGGAATTGAGGATAGGACAATCATAATAGTATACTATAGTTAAAAACATGTTTAAATTGTGAAATACGATGTGATTTATGTTCTTGTATTAGTGTCTTTATGAAAACCCACCGTACAGCCACAACCATCGTTATTTGAAAAGTTGTTAAATAGATTTTTTATTATGTTGTTTTTAAAATAATTTTTGAAATTATTTTAAAAAATAAACTTCAAAAATATATATTTGCATTTTTAGTAAAAATAAATAATTAATATACAATGACATTATACTACATTTGATTTTTTTTTTATAGTATAGATGATGACATATATATTTTTTTTATTGAAAACACAATCACTCTCAAAACTTAAACGCATTATAAATTAACTACACAAATCTTTCACCAAAAATACACTACATGCTCAAATCTTAAATTCAAGATCCGTTAAACTTAAATAACTTCACTTTTGCTAGTTGATTCAAATGGGCTCGACAATATACTACGAGGGTTTGTTGATTAATTGATTGTGTATTTTTATTTATACTAATACAACTTTTTTTTATATTTTTTTATAGTCTTGGTAGTTAAATTATCTATAGGTTTTGATTCTCTGTTTTTAATTTTTTTATAAGAAAATTAAGTCTATAGTTTTAAAATTAAGTAAAGTTTGACCTTCAACTGATTTTCTTTTAACTAAAACCTTCAGATTCTAATTTTATTTTCTTTACTCAAACTCCTTATAAATTTAATCAATTAAATTGTCTTTTATCTACCAGATAGTTTTCACATTTATACATTCATTCAATTTTGTAAAAAAAAAAAAATCCATTCAATTTTATCAAGTTTTCACTATATTTCAAATTTATATACTTTTAAAATCATCCACATTCCAAATTCACCTTTATTTCTCAAATATTCAGATAAAAAATATTTTTAATTTTTTTGAAGTTAAATAAATTCAATGAGAGGACAACATTTCCTTAATTTTAAAAAAGAGGTGCTTAATTACCCAGCTCATTTTTTTAAGTAATTAAACCACATGCAAAGCAAATTAATGAGAGGAAAATACAATATATCAAGCCTGGATTTTTTTTCTTAAAAGTAAAAACTTGTCAAACATGGCCTACTTATTTTTCTTGATTTTTATTTTCTAGCCATTAGTAACAATTGTTAGTTTTTTGTAATTGCAGTTTCCATGTCTGTTCATACTTCATAATATATCGACATAAGTTATACTAATTGGAGAAGTGGCATTTTTTTACTCTTAGACTCCTTCTTCCTTGGCCAATGTGAGATTCCATCTAAAACCCATACATTTATATTTATTTTAATAGATGCTTTCAACTATGAATTTGTAAAGAGGGTTATAAAATGCAATCAGTCGACTTTCACGAAACAGTATGAACATGGCAAAATCGACCTGTGTGTAGCAAATCAAAGTAAGTGTTTTCCAATCACGTATTTACAACTATATCTACGTAACAGAATTCAAATACTTACGGCTAAGAATTCATTAGGAAGTGTATATATATATATATATATATATATATATAGTAACTTTTAGGAATACAGAAAGTCACTATATGTATATGATACAAATACTTCACCTCGTTAACATGTTGATTAGCATGATTCGCGGGGTATTCTAATAGAGCTATTTAATTATGTCCCTTCGCAATATCTCAATAGTTGACATAAACACAATGAATTATAAATTAAATGAAAGTAATTTCCACATCTAATTAACACAACTTGACTCATCACGTCTATTCGTGGCATCAATTATTCCATATATGTGTGAATTAAACATGCAATGAAACAACTCTAGGCGTGGGCGATCGTTTCAAAAACCCAAAATAGAGGATTTATATATGTCATTGAACACGTCATAAAATATACATGTGCCCTACCCTTAAAGGTGGACACCGCACAGCTAGCTCTTCGTTTAATTAAAAAATTATCTTCATATGAAAAATCTGTACTGTAACGGCCACCTTGTTCTTTTTTATATCTGCCACAATTAAGGACAACAATAATCGGCCATTCAACTTGTTAATCAAATAAAATCGTTTCGATTCATATGCACGTATACCTAATTTTATTCTCATTAAAAAAATTATTTCAAAGAATCGATATTCTGATGATGGACAGATAATTTATTTAATAAAGAGTTGTATTACAAAATTATCAAATTATTAACGATCTTTGATACTTTGATTGATACTTGTTATGTTTGTTAATCAGAGATCTTACATAGTTTAATTAATTCCCGCCTTCGACTTAAAATTGTAAAGGAAAATATCACATTAATCTTATAAGTAGTCTTTATTAAAAAAAATATAAAATTGTGCTTTCTATTATACTCACTCAGAATTAACAGTATGTTCTAATTAGTTGAGTGGAGCCGGAGTGAACTTGGACCAATGGCTGAGGAGGAAACATTCCCGTCGTGATGATGTGGCATCAGCCAATGAGAGGATGCCAAATAATATGGGGACTGTAAAGATGACGTGGCATGATCAAATGGTAAGCCAGTGGCCAGTGGGATAGGCTCGACAGAAAGTTTAAATTTTTTTAACATTTATGACTATGAGATATTGAGGCTTATATATGTCTTTTTCGTGATGTATTGTGTGAGGTTAAAATTAAACTTTTCAACAAAACTGAGCTTTCATGTTGATGATTTCAATATGATGTTTCTGAGGACAGACGTACTTCATCAAAATAATTTTCATCAGCCACCCACCAAATACCTCTAGTCTCTAGAGCTTTCTATTTTTTAATTCCAGTACTTGTTCTCGTAAGATAATTATGTCTCATGTAAAAAATATGTAATATATAAAGGGACTAATAAATAAATAATTAAATAATTAAAGACTAAATCATAAATGGGTTTAATGGAGCATTTATGAGAATAATTGTTATTTGATGGAAATAACAATCTTTAGGGGTTAATTATAAATATCCACTAATGTGAGACAAGGTCCACACCCATGACAGAAAGTATTCTCTCAAACCCTAGCCATCATGAAAGATAGAGAGAGTAGAAAAGAAAAGTCAAAGGGAGTGAAATCTTGGTTCTCTTCTCAAGAAGATCAAAGCACTCTAAGGATCAAAGGAGTTTTCTACTATGGAGAAAGATACACACTTTCTTCCTATTATGTGAGTATCATGAATTTCAAAGATCCTTTAATTTTCTATAATTGATGTATTAGAAAATCATAGAACTTACATGTGGTATCAGAGCCTAGTTTTGAAATTGAATGATTCTTCGTGAATGATATGTGTTGTAAAATTGTATAATTCTCCATGAATGTTATATATATATATATATACATATATAACGATTTTGCAATGATCTAGAAGACATTGTCAAATTAAGAAATTTTAAGCATATTTTTTTCTCAGCGGAAGTGAGATAATTGTGCAACAATGAAAAATAAAAGGATATTTTCTCACCAGAAGTGAGATAATTATGCAACAATGAAAATAAAAGAATATTTTCTCACCGGAAGTGAGATACTTGTACGATAATGAAAAGAAAAGAATATTTTTCTTACCGGAAGTGGGAAAATAATATGAAAAGTGAAAAGGAAAAGGATAGATAAAGAAACAAATATGATATAAATATTATATTAATTTGATCCTTTGAGTACCACTAGAAGTGAAATAATTTTATCAAGGTCATTGTTGCAAATATTAAATGATGTTTGGGACAATTATATACATATAAATCCCAATTCATATGAACCCTAATTTTATAAATTAGGAATTATGATGTAATTTTTCGCTGCATGTTGTTTGTTTGGATCATGAATAAAATTCTTAATTTTGAATTATGATCAATACATTAAATCCCACATTATCGAAATCCTAATGGCAATCGCAAAAGAA